AGACCGCGACCTGCGGTTCACGGCGAAGTTTTGGTCAACCTTATTCGCTCTATGCGATACCTCGCTCGATATGTCGACTTCGGATCACCCCGAGTCCGACGGCCAAACGGAACGCGCCAACCGCTTCCTCGAATATATCCTCCGAAGCTATTCCGTTTCTACCGGTTCCTCGTGGGCTATCACGCTACAGCACGCGGTTTCGCTTACAACGCCTCGGTTCAGGCGTCCACTGGCTTTTCGCCGCATTATGCGGTCCATCTCCAACACCCCCGCCTCCCCCCTATGCTCGAAGGTTCAATCTCCAGTGGGGGTGGAGTCACTTCGCGGCTTCGTTCCGCAGGCTTACTTTCCAACGCCCCAATCCGCACTCTCGAAACCATTCAGCGTTTCCTGTCCCGTCGCGTCTCTGTTATGCAACAGATCCATGACAGCATCGCTGCCGCTCAGCAGCGCCAATCAACTCAAGCCAACAAACATGGCCGTTCTAACTTCGCCTCTTTCGCCGTGGGCGAACAAGTTCTCCTCCACAAGTCGGCGGTGCCCGCCCATGCATTCCGCGCACGTGCGGTTGGAATGTCTTCCAACGTCAAGCTACGCAGTGCTTGGCATGGCCCCTTTACCGTTCTTCGCGTGGTCAGTCCCACCAACTACAAGCTTGACCTGCCCACCTCATGGCAGATCCATCCAACATTCTACCAGTATGTGGGTAAGCTCAAACGTTATTTACCGTTATTATCTACTCCTACGACCGATGAAGTGACGGCAACCGATCCTTCGAATCCCCCGGCGGCTCTTCCTCTTCCGCCGCCTCCGACTTCTCCTCCTCCTGTACCTCCCCCACCGTCGCCGTCCTCGACATCGGCACCACCACTTGTTGCGGCGCCGCAATCGCCCGCGCCCCCGCGCGATAATCTGCGGCTGCTTGCCGCTCCGCTGCTGTCAATTGACCGTCCTGTTGAGGTCCCGATGGCGGATTGTACTCCGCGAACGGATTCGTCGGTCGCGCCGCCGA